AAAAGCAGTTGAGCTGTATCAAAAAGCAGCTGAACAAGGACATGCTGGATCACAGAATAATCTTGGCATTTGTTATGAGTATGGGGAAGGAGTGGAAAAGAATATTCAAAAAGCAGTTGAGCTGTATCAGAAAGCAGCTGAACAAGGATATCCCAGGGCACAAAATAACCTTAAGAGAATTGAGCAGATTGGCAAGATATTTGGGTAGCATTTTTGTGTTATTTGTGCTTTTTGAAAAAATTTTTAGCTGCAGGTAATTATGTGTACCAATTAGTTGCATACAAGTTATTGCCAAGTGATCTATTGATATAGTTTATAAGTGACTAAATTTCAAATTATAAAATCTGTCTTATACAACTTCAAATATTCTTATATGTAAAGCAGTTTACATGACATGTAAATTTGTAGACATAATAATTAATATTGCATTTTTGGTTACACCTTATGCCGTTCTAACACGTGTTAGCACCTTTAACATAGCAACATACTAATTCGTTAATAAACTTCCTCTTAACTTGTATGTCCAAATGTTTGTGTTCTATGTTAAATTCTATCCCCAAGACTTGTGTAAATCGTCAAAAACTCTATCATTAATAATTAAGCTGCTCAAGTTACATTGTTTACGGTTATTAAAGTACCTTTTCTATTCGTTATCTTGTTCTTAACCGTTATTCTTTTAGTAACCTTGTCAGAATTCCCGTAAAAATCAGTATAATTGCTATGAATTGAACCGATGCAAAATCGACTATATACAGTATACGCATGTAGCTTGGAAATAGTCTTGCGTATATTAATATATATATAAGGCGGGAGGCAAATGCAAATCCGAGACAATTCTGATGTTATGCCATGCCACTAGAGCCCCTTTTTATACTTCGAAATTCGCTTGACCAACAATATTATTTATATATGTAGTCAGTAGACAGAGACGCTGACTGCCCTTCTATCTTATTTAATATTGGTTTTACTAGTTCAGATCTGTCCACATACAAACATGACCAATTCACCTTATGTTTCTCAACGATGGTAATGCAACTAGATTGCTGCGTCGCTGCTATTATTTTTGAGGGGTGGGCGATGGTTGGGTTGGTAATATATTATGACTACGATTAATACGTAATCATATCTCCCGTCTAGAATCGAGCAGAAGAAATAAATATTGATTTACTTACAATACACGACAATTAGCGTAGAAAGATGTTGTATATTGGATTCTACAATAAAAGCAATTGAATCAAAATAAAATAACCATCATTTAGCACAGTGTCGATTATCTCACTTATTATATTCGTGTTTTTTTCGCGTTTGCTTCGACTGTATTCCGTGGGAGAAACTTATTAGCCGCCCAAGGATTAAGTTTCGTAGGTTATGAGTCTTAGCTTCAACCCTGAGAATGGAAACCCAATAAGCATATCGATTGTTATACTTTTTTTACGCAATGAGATAACAAGGCGAAGAAAGTATAGAAGGGTAAATTAACGATACTTTGCCTTCGCTAAGTCGTCATCGGTAAGTATCGGTCCATTAACACGATAGTAAAAATTGTAATATATTAGTACAGTATATCCGTAATTATATAGTATATCGATTGACATACTGGAGTGTTGAAGATATCAAGAATGTCATGTTACACAGATAAACGATCAACTTTTTTTTGGCAACAAACGCAACAAAGTTTGTATCGAAATGAATAGTTTTGACTTATCCTCAGACCTTTCATCAGACTATGAGAAACTTTACAAAGTGGCAAATACACGGATGTCTCAATCTACGTTGGACGAGAGCCAAATAACAAAATATTTCTTGCTCATACATTGGTATTACGCACCAGAAGTACATTTCTTGAGAATAGATTGGCTGGGAATACTGAGACGTCTGAAGAGTTTCAAAAGACTGCTATGACGGTTGAAGATGTAAAGCCCGACGTTTTCGAAATATTGCTCAGGTAATAATATCTCATAAAGTTGTCAGAAGCTTGTGCACAATGCTCAAAGCAGCTTTAGTGGTTCTCTGTAGTTGCCAATAAAGATCCTATATGTACAATGCTCATTGTCACTAAATGATTCTGTAGGTTTATTTACACTGGGCAATTATCCTATGATTCATGCGAAAGTGTAGGTTGGATTAGTCTCCTGGATGGAGCTAATAAGTTTGAACTACTTGATCTCCTTGGTGCAATTGAAACTTATTTGATTGAACAAGAAGAATGGATTCAACAGAATATTCTTACATTTCACAACCTTGCTGTATCCATAGCCTCTCTGAACAAACTTCTGGCTTACTGTAATCGAATTATGGCTTCCCACCCAGACATTGCAACATTACCCAAGGAGACTTTGGTCACTCTTCTCAAGAGTGATGAGCTTAGTATGGATGAAGATGATATTTTGATGTCTGTTATACAATGGGCCACTAAACAAGTGCCAGAACTAAAACTTGGAAACGATATAGATAATTGGTCATCTGATAACATCAACACAGTCAAAGATATCATTGCAGATTGTATACCTTATATACGATTTTTCAGTATTCCCCTAAAACATTTGCTTTATATGATGATCTATTGCCAAGACCATTGCATTGTGACTTACTTAAATATCATGCAGATAAGGATTATAAACCAAACACTCACATGTTACCACCAAGAACAAGACAAGGATGCAAGATAAAGATTGATTCACTTATCATTAACAAAGGGCAGGCCAAATGGATCTCATCGAAGATTTTGGAATCAACAAGGCAGCTTCAGGAACATCAAAGGGCATATAGTAAGCATGATGTTCATATATTTACTCTACTTTATAGAGAAAGTAGAGATGGTAATACAGTTGAAAAATTTAGAGAATTGTGTAATGACAAAGGGCCAACAGTTGCTGTTGGGAAAGTGTTGGGTACTGAAGAAATACTTGGTGGATATAACCCATTTTCATGGGGTTTACCTCACAACTGCTCTGCTATCGAAACTAAAGAAAGCTTTATATTTGCATTAGATAATAACATAGATAAGAGTATAGTAAGTTTTGTTGGTAATGATAGTTCACATGCCGTTATTGATAATTCTTTTTGTTATCCTTTATTTGGGCGCTTTGATTTATATTTTGGTAATAAGAATAAGGATAAAGCTCGTGCAAACAAAAACACCTACCAATTTCCAATAAGATCTTCATCAGGTCGTTTTGAATGGGCTGATTGGGAGGTGTTTTTGGTTTCGAAACTTTGATTTAAATTTATGCCACTTTATAGCTATCAATTTTGTTAGGAAATTTTTATTGCATCTATTGAATAAATACTTATTTCACAAAACTGTATTCTTACAAACGCTATGATATGGTTGCAGGGTTCTCTTTGATTAACCTTGGAAGTGAACGTTCAAAGCTGATATTACTAGTCGACATCAATTTTTGTTCAGACAAATTTTCACATTGCATTCCTTCAGAAGCCTTCATCGTTCTTGTGCATAAGCGCATAATTGTTATTATTAGGCAATTATAATTGTACAAAGGAGATAATTCAGGAATTGGGAAATTGAAGTTCCTTTTGACTTTGTTTTTAGTTTAATATGCTATTAATTAATGTTGAAAATTTCACCAATCAGTTGATAAAATGTAACTTTGTGCTGTGCTCGTAGTTTTTTCCTTCCTTATTTTATTGTCTCAAACCGTCGACTCGCTGAATGCACGCTGAGTACCTCGTATTGTCGAGTGCAAGCAAGTAATCATGAAGAATAGCACTCAAACTTGCCTAAAATGTTCATACAAATGGTATATACAGTGAATTGCTTAACCCAATTGCAAACTTTCTCTCAACGCACACAGTTGAGCGAAGAATAATGTATTTCCTTAACACTTGAATTCAATGTTGAACAATTTATTTTTAATTTAGTATTATTGTTTCATACGATCAGTCGCTACCTATAAACGGCTTCTGACCTGACAATCTAATTCATACGATAACTTGCTTGATATTTTTATCACCGTTAGTGTAGAGGCAAATGTTTTTCAACCATCGAAACATAAATTATGTCTGAATTTGGCATTGAAATTAATGTCAAGTTCGAAGCATTCTTGGAGAATCTATAACATTATTAAATAAACGGGCCCATCGTGTCTCCGTATTTTAGCCGAGATCCCAGCACTTGGAGTATTATTGACTTTTTAAATCAATGTGATGAAGAACCATTTGATCAGAAAATCGATTATTATATAAAATCTCTCCAAGAGATCGCTGCTTCCGATCAAACTAGCCGGCAGGAATGTGCGCAGATGCTTCTTGACAACTACAAAAAGGAAAGTGAAGTCCATTTTTATCGGGTATCGGAGTCAAAAAAGTGGCGTTACTGGTGGCCTACTTGGTAGCCAGCCATTCAAAGCTATTCGCTGAGCCACAAAACTGGTGCTGGCGCACAGATGGCTACTTGCTATCTGATGCCAAAGGCCAAGAGCTAAGCAGCGCGTTTTTAGCGATAGATTATTTACAAGCTAATAGTAATAGTAATAGTGAGACTTAGTTACCGCTGATCTAGCATTGGACCCATATAGGGCACAGGTGACCTACTAGGTCCGCTATGATGCTCGGTGGGATAGAGAAGTCAATAATAAATTGAGCAATATGATCAGTCACTAATTCTAAATCCTTTATCTAGGGTTCTCAGCCAGACCAGAAAAAGGCAAGAGAATGGGAGGTGAAACGCTCATGCAAGTAGATAAAGATCAATCAGCCAATAAGAAGCAGAAGAATTGGCAATATAAATGGTGTGAATTACGGAGAGGTATAAAACTGTATTTTTTTAGTAATATTAATCATTGGAACGATAAGCAGGACTCTGAAATGGACAAATACACATCATTTTTCCCTCACAACCCAAACTCAGATTCACCAAAATCGTTACTTGTTGAGAAAGCGCAAGAAAATAGGGAATATAAGCCTAGTGAAAGGCATGCATGTCATGTTATGTAATAGATTGCAATATTTTAGTTGTTGTAAATTCAAAAATTAATATTATGGACAATGTTAATAGGAAGCGGAGGAAAAACACTGATGATGAGGGAAGTGATGTCTTGGTAAGCACAATGGAAAAAATTGTAACCTTTATATCCAAATATTAATTGACTTATTGTCTCATTAACAATCCAAATGAAATTCTGTCAGGATGGTGGCAACAAATGTCTTGTCATAAAGAACCTTCTTAGTGAAGCTCAACAATGTTCCATGAACATGACAAACTTACTGCAGAGTTTCCAAGAATATCGTGAAGGCACAACTAGCAATGAACTTGCACATAGTGAGATTATGGACTTAACACCAGTATCAGAATTTGTTTTGAGATGTGTAGATGAAGATGACTATATCAAGGTTCTGGAGGAAATGTTTGAACCCATCAACACATTCTTTCCAGATAGAGGATCTAAATTTCTTTTTGATTTTTCTCTGAGGTAACTACTGCTGTCTGTTTGCTATATAGGTAATTTTTGTGTATATAACATCACTGACTATTATACTGTTGACAGCAACTCAATTATCAATAATGGTAAGAGAAACTGGAAATGCTGTTGTCACTAAAAGTTGATCCCTTTTTAAGGAAGCTGAAGAGGCTTTTGTTTGAGACGCTACCAATATTGTAAGTATTCTAATATTAATATAAAGTTTCACACACAATAAGTTATTAACATTCTTTTTTGTCTTAATAGTCTTGATGCATATGAGATGTTAGAGGAAGAATACATGAACACATATATCCATCCCATTTTGAGGAAGGCACTTGCTCGGTTTTCAGGAATTCCATATATCCCGTAAGAATATTTTATTTTCAACTCATCTCATCCTTATAGGTCTATATTAATACATAGTATTTCATACTCTTTAGTGGGTAAAGCCATTGTTGCTTCTGGTTACAGAAAAAAGGTGACGAATCAGAAGGGAAACGCTGACCGTGCTGATGGAATTGCCTATACGTCTGACGAAAATTCCTATGAAATTTCTGTAACGGAGGGAAGCAAACCACATAATGTCGACTATGATAAAGAAGGAGCAGATTATATCCAGAATGCACGAGCGGAAAGACTTGTTGAACTTTGTCGTTATCTCAGAAGTGAAGTTGAAGCGTAAGTTGCTAGCACAGTTTCGAAGTTACATGGTTCAGTGTTTTGGTCTGGACCTTCGCTTTTATTTCATGGATTACTTGGGTATGTTATAGTTATGTGTATATTTGATGTACAATTTGTAAATCACAAGCCAGTAACCGATTTTTTGCATCAGGTACATACCGTCTTTTCGAGATTGATACATGTAAAGTGCCAACACATCTGAAGGCTATTGATCTCTTCCCTCCTTTCTTTCACGCCGTTGTGTTATGGGCGGTAAGTCCTAGCATTGAGTTTTCGTTGTTTGGTACGGTAATCAATCTGTCTCTCACACTTTTCATTATTTAGCTGATGGTAGGGAAAACTGACCGAGAATTTCGGTCAACGAAAAACCAACGGAGTTCACGGTACAGCAATGCAATGCAGCCTTTTGATTTGTAGAATACTAATTATAATGACCTTATCATTCCTTCAACGTAATAAGTGAGGACGTTCCTTATCTCAGTTAATAGCTCTATGTATAAAACGTACTGGGGTACGTACGTAATACGTTAGAAGTAAAATAAACTCCAATTTAAACGGATGTTGTCTTTTCTTTGGATGTTCGTAAAATTATTATTTAGTTACGCATCGGTTTTAGTTTTGACGGAAAAATAACTTCTGCTGACTTTGGCAGTTTTAGTTGTTTTGGTTTTGTGCCACATAGTTGAATTACTGGACGTCATTTGTACCCGCATATAAATATTGCTCTCGTTCTTTTGAGACCAAAGCATACAAATCGTACAGAGCTAGTGATTATCATCGGATATCCTGATAGGCGTAGACTTGCTGTGAGGATGAATTGATTCTTTTGGGAAGTACTTTCTAGACCAATTAGTCCATCCGATTGATATGAAGGTATTTATTCATTGCTGGAAGGCAATTCTCACGTACCATTCATGCTTCGGGAACTTTCTACCGTTAATATTAACGAACACTTGTTTCCGTAATAAAATGTGCAGATATAGTCTCTTATGCCTCTGACATTGATATCAACTGGCTCACAAGCCGCAATGGAATATGTACGCTTTTCTGAATTGACTTTCGATATTGGACAATAAGAAGATCGGAATATTAGCATTATTTTGTCTTGCTATCTATTGGTTTACTCAAAACCCCCCTCTTAGATACTACAATGGATGACTAATGAAGTAGTGGAGAACAATATACGCAGTGACATACAATTAGCATCAAGTTCAAAGTAAATTTTAATTGACTAAAGCTGCATGCTGAGATTGACTCTTAGCCATAAGCCTAGCATTTCTAGTTTTAATGAATCAACTTCGGATAAATCGTTAGATTCATCTCGCCGAGTTTGCATAATTAGTATTAATTTATATAACTTTATCACTAGTGATCGGAAAAGAAATTTTACTGGACACGTCTTGAAAAAGTTTTTCGTTAATTTTTTGATAACACGCGGATTGTTCAAAAGCTTGTTTATTAACATATCACACACCAGGGCCAGCTTTATAGGTATAAAAATCCTTGATACATATATACATAGGCAAACTCGATAAGTCGGACTCGTCGGGGCGGACTCCTGTGTCCGACTTAACGAGGTATCTCATAATAATAAATATTAAACGTACTTTTTATTTGCATGTTATGAGCTAATACAAACTGTAAATATAATAGATAATTCAATGTTTATAAAAAGTTTCTAAGGTAGGCTGTTTTAGAGAAGCGATTATTCGCTTTCTTTGAATTTGACACACTGAAGGTCTTTCATTCTCGAGATTACCGATGCATTTGTTTTTTAATTGCAGTTTGGTTGTAAAATGTAATGCATTTTTGAAAGCAATTGACTATGTCAACCTTCTTATTGTCTTTCTGAACGATTAAGACAATCGTATAATGTATTACAAATGATATATATTACGATGACATAAGATAATAAAATATTGTTTAGATGCTAAAGACGCACTTATTGGGTAATTATTTTGTTAC